GTATATATATATATATATATATATATATATATATATATATATGTATGTATGTATATATATGTATGTATACATATGTATGTATGTGTATATATATATATATATATATATATATATATATATATATAATATATATATATATATATCATAAGATCCTAAATGATAAATAGTAAAAAGGGAAAATGTATAATTATTTCCAAGGTTGTTTATCTAATTCATTTCAAGAGTTTTTTTTCCAAAAGCTAATGTATACCAAGGTAACGCTGTATTCTGCAAAAAATAAACCCTAACAATGTCAACAATGCTATTATTAACCAAATACGCTGTAGATAAATATGAATATATTGTGTATGTGTGTGACAGAGAGATAGATAAAGACATATTTATGGATATATTAATTCCTAAGATATGTCGCATGCAAATTATGAAATCAATCTTACAACATACATGGAAATATATATATATATATATATATATATATATATATATATATATATATATATATATATATATATATATATATATATATACATTATATATATATATATAATATATACATATATACTAAAATTTTTTGTTATTCCTATATACAGTACCTACATATTGATAAATACAACACACATGTATTAATTTTCTCCGCTTTCTTGTTTCTTTCAGTAAATAAACTTTATATGAACTCACATAAGGTCGTATTTCCATAAATACTTTATGATATGATTAAAGTAACTGCAACAGCACACCATGCTAAATTTGGAACCAGATTTTTTGTAAATTATATTTTGTATAATAATTATGCAGGCTTTAAATCTCATGGTAGTGGTAATGTTAGCAATTTTTGCAATAATACCTGATGGAATACAAATGATAATGATAAATAAGAATAAACGTAATGATGATAACAATAATTCTAAGTTGATAAGGAAATGATCCTTTGTTTTGACTTTATCTCTGTTACTATTATTATTTTTGTTGCTGTTAGTAGTAGTAATAGTAGTGTTAGCATTAGTGTGGCGCTGCTAGTATAATCGTAACTATAATTGCTTATCAATTTTGACGACCACGTTAATGCCAAAAATGACGATTATAATACCAAAAGTTATATATATATATATATATATATTATATATATATATATATATATATATATATATATATATATATATATATGTATGTATATATATACAAACATATATATATATATATATATAATATATTATATATATATATATATATATGTATATATATACAAACATATATATATATATATATATATATATATATATATATATATATATATATATATATGACCTATATATATATATACAAACATATATATATATATTTTTTTTTCCTCACATTCATTGTTATTTTGTATTTTCTTGAATAATTTTATTACATATTTCCAACAACTTCGAAAACCTTCCCATCACGAAACCACTTCACATTCGTGCAGACGCTAAAGTGCAAATGCGAAATTACGAACATTAACGTAACTGTGTTCGAACCGCAGCTTCGTTTGGCAAACCGAAGCAGTTGCAAAAAATATGCGTTGTGGCGGTCTCTTATTCGCACAATCCTAGCCTGTTCTTGTGCACTTTTTCGTGAACATCATTGTTATTATTGGAAGTTTTAGAAATTAATAATTTTTGTAGTACGATTTTTTTATAATTTTATAATATAATAATTGTTGTACGATAACCGTGGTAATAAAGCTAATGGTTATGTTATTATCAACATTTGTCATTATTGTAATTATCATTGTCATAATCATCATCATCATTGGCATAATTAGTATAGTTATTATTACCATTATCATTACTATTATTACTATTTCTGTCATTTTCGCTATCATCTTTATAACAATAATTATTATTAGTAGTAGTATTGTTGTTATCATTAATGTTCACATCATTATTATCTTTAATATCATTATCATAATCACTATTCTTATTGGCATAATCGATTACTATTATTATCATTATTATCATTATTGCCATTAGTACTATCATTATCATTATTATCATTATTATCATTATCACTATTGCCATTAATACCATCATTATCATTATCACTATCATCATCGTTATCATTGTCGTTATGGATCCGAATCCTGGGCAGGACAACTCAAAAGCTTAAAGGCGATTTTTACGTAATTTTTCAAGTGTGAATATTTTCAGTGCATCAGTGACTCTGTTGCCTTGGCGGAGGTATGCGCTCTCTGCTGCTACTTAGTTTTGCTTTTATCGTTATTATCATTAGTAGTAATGATGATGCAATCATGTTTATCCTTATCATTATCAATATCAGTATTACTGTTACAACTGATATTACTACTACTACTACTACTACTAAAATTACTGCATCTACCATAGCTACTGCTACTATAATTACTACAACTACTACTAATGTGAATATCACCATTGCCATTTTCATCATCATCATCATCATCATTATTATCATCATTACTGCTACCATCGTTATCACCATCACTCCTATTAGCAGTATCATCACGTGATATAATCGTTTTATTAATCGTTCTTATCCTCATTAGTGTGTACCATGAGACGCCAAATGCTTTAATGAGCTATTAATTTTACTTAATTATTTCCAAGAGTTTTCCTTTCAGAAATCCAGCTGTTTCTCCTCTTCCGTTCGTATAAGATCTCTTCAGGATTCTCTAAGGTCTGTAAATCCTATTTAACCTCCCTCCTTCCCCTACCCCCTCCTCCAATAATTGAAGCCACTTCCCATTCACGTGCCCTCCCCCCCACCCCCGCTTCTTCCCTCCTTCTTCTTCTCCTTCTCCTCCTCCTCCTCATCCTCCTTCTTCTTCTTCTTCTTCCTCTCCTCCTCCTTCTCCTCCTCCTCCTCCTCCTCCTTCTCCTCCTCCTCCTCCTTCTCCTCCTCCTTCTCCTCCTCCTCCTCCTTCTCCTCCTCCTCCTCCTCCACCTCCTTCTCCTTCTCCTTCTCCTCCTCCCCACCCCCCGCTTTCCCCTCCTCCTCCTCTTCCTCCTCCTCCTCCTTCTCCTCCAGTCTAGCCCTTCCCCTGCCTTTCGCCTTCCTCTTCCCCTTCCTCCTCACCGCCCCCTTCTACCTCCTCCTCCTCTCCTTCTCCTTCCTAGCTCCCGACATGTGCCCCTACCCTGCTCTTCCGTCACCCTCCCTGTCCCAGCTGAGACACTCTCATCTCCTTCCCTTCTCGACCCCCCTAACACAGCCCTTTCCTTCCCCTCTCTTCCCTCCCCATGTTATCACCCCTTCCCCTTACTATCGTCCTCCCTCCCCTCGCATTCCCCTCCCTTCTTCCTCTTTTCCTCCCTTCCCTTTCCCCTCTCTTCCCTCTCATCCCCTCCCCCTCCCCAACCGCCCCTTCCCGCTCTCCTACCCTCCTCCACCCACACCCTGGAACCCATCCTACGCCCGGAGCAGCGACAGGATCGAGTGGTCCTTGGCTCCTCGGCTCCTTGGCTCCTCGGCTCCCTCGCCCGTTACGTCCACGCTTCCCTTACCGTTAAAGCCTCGAGCTGTTTGTACAGACGTCGACACGAACGCGAGCTGGCTCCTGCGATTCGTCAGCGAGGACTCGGGTCTCGTTACTGTAATTCATGATCGTGGGTTGTGGTGAGTGGTAGGTGTTGTTATTTGTGATGAGTGGTACGTGCTGTTATGGGTTGTAGTGAGTGGTACTCGCTGTTATGGGTTGTAAAGAGGAGTACGTGTTGTTATGAGCTGTTCTGGGTTTTGAAAAAGTTGTTACGGGTGTGTGTGTGTGTATGTCTCTTTAGAACTAGTGTGTTTGGGTGTGAATGTTCTCGTTGGCCGTATGCGCATCTCATAACAGTGAACTGTATTTACAGAGGACTCTTTTTTACGTCCTCACTAGATCCTGGCAAACCCTTCTTCACCCCAACTAAACCCGAAGATCGTAGTAGCATACTTAAAATGAGGACATCAAGATCCCTTGACCAGCCCTCACTGGACCCAGCAGGACTCGACCGCCCCTGGAGCACTAGGTCAGCCGGGCATTGCAGAAGGAGCCCAGGGTATCCTACCTCCTGCGTCCAGTTATGTTTCCAGGGCGTAAGAGCCTCGTCCTCCTCCCTCCCAGCGCATTCTCGGCCTCCTTAACACCGAGCACGCTCCAGTGAACACCGTTAAGGCTGGTGATTGCCGTTCGCTGGTTCGTGAATTCCGCCTTTACGTGGGCGTTCAGGAGATGGTTCGCTGTGTGAGTGGTTCGGTTGCTGTGATTTGGATGGTCAGCGAAGGTTTTTCTTTGATAAATATAATCACAGTAAGAAGAAGAAAGATAATTAGATATAGGATTAATAATAGTGGAGACAACGAAGGAATTAGGTATACATATAGAGACACATTTTTTTACCCATAAATATTTAAACATTATGTACCTTTTCTATATATAAAAATGCATATTAGAATTGCATTATTTTGTACAGTGTGGACAGCAAGGTCTTCCATTTTTTTCCGATATGTTACAAATATGAACTGTTTTCACTCGCTCTCTGTTGGCTTCTCAAAAGACATGTACACCTTCGCATAGTCCAATTTAATCGCATTTTTTGTTTTGATAATATCTGGTACTATATCCTCGAGTCATAAAGTTTATGATCCCTATTTTCACTTCATGAGAAAGAAAAAAAAAGAATTAAGATTAAGAATTGTAACTGTGAGAATGATAACAATAATCTACAATAATATATTTCTAAATGCCGTGAAAGGTAGCTCTTCACCCCCCCCACCCACCCACCCCCATCCCTCCTTTCCTCAGTTATAGCCAATAGCCCCAAGCCCTTTCGTAGACATGCTCACAGGCCTACACGACCACGTATTACACACACACACATACGCACGTACACACCATACACACCGACCCACACACACATACGAACGCACACGGGGCCACATACATACGAACGAACACACAGACACACGCGCGCACGGATCCGAACGCGCCGCCGGACCACAACACAAGCCAGTGAGAAGAAGCTGCCAGTGGGTAGACACCTTCGCTCGGACCAAGAATATAGATCGTTTTTCTCTCACAACCGAGAAGGATTTTGCGTATAACGACCTTAACGAACTGCTGCAGGATCCTTTGTTCGGATAAGAGACAAGAGAGTAACATCTGGATAAGAGGAGTATTCTGTGTAGTGATGGCAGATGGTTCGTTACTCGTGAATAGTTTTTAAAAGTTATTGGTGTGGTTTTGGTTTGTGCTTATATTGGGTGGCAGTTCTGTGGAGATTCTGAATGACAAATAAGTGTATAAGTGGTAGCTATGTTTGGAATGAATATATGCAGCTTTCTGTGTCTGTGCATATAATAGTTTACAACCGCGTGTGTATTTGTGTACATATGTGTTACTTGTATGTATATATAAATATACATACTTTGCATATATAAGCTGATTTGTGTATTTCTGTATAAAAGATATTACTTGTATCACTTTAATCATTATTATCACTGTTATCCTTGATTCTAGATTATTTTAAAATTAAGATTGATACATCAATTGTTAAAATATTCTCCAACTTTTTTCAAATTTTATATTAAGGAATAAATTCTATAAGCAATTCGTCTAATTTTCTTTGTCATACTTACTATGATTATAATATTTGCTATAGAAATGAATAGTGTAGCTATCATATCATCACTGTATTATTATTATTGCCATTAACATTATTTTTATCATCAGTGTCGATTATTATTATTATTATTATCATTATCACCATTATTATCATTATCATTATTATCATCACTACTACTAATCCCAGTTATCATTGTTATCACCACTATCATCATCACTATCACATCATTATCCACTTCCTTATCATTATACCATTTATACCGTTATTATGCAATATCTCATAATACAATAACATCTCATAACATCACCATCATTATCATAATTTTCCTTTTGTTTGCTATTAACTCTTAAAAATCTCTCAACAGCGCTAATATTATAACAATATTAATAATGCAATAATAATATAATAATATCATCATAATTTTCCTTTTGATTGCTATTAACTCTTATTAATCTCTCAACAGCGCTAATATTATAACATATTAAAATAATATTAATGATATAATATGTTATCATAATTATCCTTTTGATAACCATTAACTCTTAAAAATCTCCCAACAGCGCTAATATTATAACAATATTATAATAAAATTAATAATACAATAATATCATCATAGTTTTCCTTTTGATTAATATTAACTTAAAAATCTCTCAACAACGCTAATATTATAACAATATTATATAATATTAATAATACAATAATATCATCATAATTTTCCATTTGATTAATATTGACTCCTTAATTTCTCAACAGCGCTCGGATTTCTCGCCTCCGCCAGCGACTATGGGGGCTATGGAGCGGCAGATGGCTACGGGTACGTAAGAGCAGGCAGAGGAAATGTAGGGTTTTGGAGTAAATTGGTAGATAGATAGGTAGATGGATGGATGGGTGGATGGATAGGTAGGTGGATAGGAAGATGGGGAGGTAGGTGGATGGATGGATAAAGTGATAGATGGATAGGAAGATGGGGAGGTAGATGGATAAAGGGATAGAAGGATTGATGAATGATGGATAAATAGGTGGATAGAAAGATGGGGAGGTGGATGGATGGATAAAGAGATAGATTGGTAGATAGAGTGATGGATGGATAGATAGGTGGATAGGAAGATGGGGAGGTAGATGGATGGATAAAGGGATAGATTGGTAGATAGGTAGATTGATGGATGGGTGGATGGATAGATAGGTAGACAAGATGGGGAGGTAGATGGATGATGGATAATCAGATAGATGGATGGGTAGATAGATTGGTGGAAAGAAAGATGGATGGGTAGATAGATTGGTGGAAAGAAGATGGATAGGTGGATGGATGGATAACCATAGATTGGTAGATAGATTGATGGATGGATGGATAGATAGGTGGAAAGAAAGATGGGTAAGTAGATGGATAAAGATAGATTGATAGATAGATAGATAGATAGGTGGATTAACAGATAGATGGATTGTTAGATAGATAGGTGGATGGATGAGTGGATATGTAGACAGATAAATAGATAGATATAATTAATGATTGATAGACACATTGGTGAAAGGACATTTTCTTGAAACAAGAGATGATAGATTGATAATATAAAAAAGGTGGTAGATTGTCTTATGGCTGGATAGATGGATTGATAGATAGGCAGGATAGTTATTGAGTATCAATTAAAACATGTTGTAATAATGATTGATTATTCTCATAGCATTTTTTTTTTTTTTTTTTTTTTTTTTTTTTTTTTTTTTTTTTTTGCTTCCTTTTTCTCTTTATCTGTTTCTCCTATTCTTTTTTCCGTGTCCTCTTCTTTTTTTCTACCTCTTCGTCCTCCTTCTCTTCTTTTTCTTCTTCTTCTCCTTTTTCTTCTTCCTTCTCCTCCTTTTCCCTCCTCCGCATCCCTTTCCACTGTCCCTCTCCTCTTCCACCTTCTCCTTCTCCCCTCTCTCCCTTTTCATCTCCCCTCCTCTTCTTCTCCTCCTCCTCCCCCTTTTCCTCTCCCTCTTCCTCCTCTTCTTCCTCTTCTTCCTCCCCTCCTCTTCCTCCTCTTCTTCTTCCTGCTCTTTCTCCTCCTCCTCTTCTTCCCCCCCTCCCTCCCCAGCTCACCTGCCCCCCCCCTCCAGCTCTCCTGCCCCCCCCTCCCGCTCACCTGTCCTCCCCCACCCCCACCCTCCAGCTCACCTGTCCTCCTCACATCCCTCTCCAGCTCACCTGCCCCCCCCCCCCCTCCAGCTCACCTCCCCCCCCCTCACCCTCCAGCTCACCTCCCCCTCCCTCTCTCAGCTCACCTGTCTTCCCTCTTCCTCCCTCCAGCTCACCAGTCCCCCCCACACACACCACCCACCCTCCAGCTCACCTGTCCTCCCGCACCCCACACCCCTCGCTCACAGCTCACCTTTCGTCTCCCCCTCAGGTACGAGAGCTCCATCGACTGCAACTCGGCGCTCGGTCTCATTGGTCTCCTTGGTCTGATTGAGCTGCTGAGGGTAAGGTCGTCCTCGGGTCTTCTGGCTGACGAAGGAGGGGGGATGAAGGAGAGGGAATAATTGCGGGAATAGGGGAATGGGAGGAATGGGATGGGAGGAAGGGACGATGTTTCAGTTTTTGTGTGTGTGTTTGTGTGTGTGTTGGTTGGTGTGTGTAGTAGTTGAATGTAGTGACGAAAGAAATAGAATAAATAAAGATAAAGATTAAACATAAAAGTAAATAAAAATGAATAGAAATAAAGATATATGAAAATAAAGAAGAAAGTAAATAAAGACAAGGAAGAAATATGAAATAACTCCACACACACCACACCATGACCCCTACCCCCTCTCTCTCCCCCAGGACATCATAGACGACATCACATCCACGCGCCGGAGAAGGTCAGCGACGACGGCGTCTTCGGCTTTCTGCTGAGTTCCTTCGGAGCGCCGTCGGGGGCCTCCGCGCCTCCTGCAGGCGATGCCGGCGGTCGTCCTGCCGCTCGTGGTGAGTCGGAGGCCCTGGGCCCGGCCGCGTCTCTCCGCGGGGAACCGGAAAGACGGAGGGAGTTTTACGTGTTTTTTTGGAGTAAAATTGCATGTTTATCCAATACTATTTATGTATCTGTATGTTTTTTTTGTTTTGTTTTTTTTTTTGTGGTAAAATTGCCTGTTTATACAATACTATTTATGTATCTGTATCATATAACCCCAAGAGAGCCTTCTTCCCCCCCCCCCCCCCCCCCCCCGCGCCCGCAGCAAAGCCTGGTGGACGTGAACGACGGCCTGGAGGAGGCCCCCTGCCTGGAGCGCGCCATGTGCGAGGCGAACCGGCGCTCCTGCAGGAGGCGTCGCAGGGCAGCCGCGTGGACGAGGCCGCGGGAGGCCTGGTGGCGTCCTGCTCAGCCAGGTCCTGAGCAAGTCCTTCAGCGATTACGACCCCGAGAGATACAAGCAGGCGCTGAGGGCGGCGGAGGCGGGGCGGAAGGAGGGGGGCCGACTGCGCCAGCCTCTTCCCAGAGTGCGCGGAGCTCAGCCGAAGACACAGCCCCATGAGGGACACCAACTTCACGCGGGTCCTGCGGGCGAGGGCCGGCGGGGCGCCCTAGGGGGTGGGGGGATCTGGGAGGGGGGGAGGGGGACGAAAGAGGGAGGGGAAGGGGGATGGGGGAGAAAGGGGGAGGGAGATGGTTACATGGGGAGGGGGGGAGGGAAGGGATGGGGAAAGGGAACAAGTGAGCATGACGTGAATGGTGTTGTACGTTCTAAATAAAAGTAAACTTCCACACTGTGTATTAATGTCCATGCAAGCAAAAGTAGTAAGATAACCAAGATTTATATATAAGGATGATATCATATGAAAAAGCTAATAATGAAGGAAGAAGATACAGATGGTAAGAATAATGCACATTACAGATACGCCAGTTCATACTTACATTCATATGGCCATTATAATAGCAATAATCATTTATTCACCAAAGCTAGTGATGATAATGATAATGACTATAATAATATTAATCACAATACTAATGATGATAACAAAAACTATCATCATATACCCGCAACCAAATTATATCCAGCTTGTAAAATAGATTTAAATTCTCTATATTAACTTCACATCGCAAAAATATAATCTCATATATCAGTCATATATTGCGATGTATCTGAAATAGCGAAATAAATCTCAGACTTATTGCCAGATGCTGCTCTCATTTCTCAAAGTAAAATACATCGAAATAGCCAATAAAAGACTTGATTATGAACAGGATCCCAAACAAGCCTTTGAATAAGTTCCAGAATACAACGAAACGCACAGGAACAGATTTGAAAAAAGGGGGACTACAGGCATAAAGGCATTGGATTCCCTTCCTTTTGTTTTATGGCTTTATAATATCTACCGTTCGTGTGTTGTGTTATTTACGGTACTACTTCCCCTATTTTATGATCTTACTTTGTTGTTAGTTACTATTTTGTAGACATTTTGTTAATACTGAGAATTTACATTGTAGCATTACAGATGCATCCGTATGTGATTCTGACTAGAAATGTGTCGATTATTTTATATTATATCATAGTCAACAGGTCCTTTAGGATGCCGCCTATTAATCGATACACCGTATTATTCAATCACTATATCATTTATTACATTACAATCCTCGAATACACCATACCCTTGTGTCATTTACCCTTTTCCAATAACATATCTCTGCATGATTAACTGCTATCAATACTAAACAACGTTAACTCCCCCGATCATATCTATATCAGATGCAGACTGCACCCATGTCACAGCCTCCGCCCTCCCTCTCGGCCACGCCCACCAGCTGGAGTATCCGTGAGTCGCACAAACCATCTCCGGAAATGAGTACTCCTCGATCTGCGAGCGTGACCGAAAACTCATTACAGCCAGCACCTGTATTTTGGGTAACGGTCTTTTCTTCGGGGGTGACGCTACCAGTACCTATATCACGAGTCTCCTTCTCTGTGCTCCTGTTCTGGAGTTGAGGATCGTGGAAGAATTTCGGTGTTATTCCAAGAGATGATGGGAAGGAAATAATAACTGGAAAGAGCTATAAAAGTGGACAGGTTGTTCGGTTGTGGGCCATTTCGGTTGTAGGAAGGAACTGGGCAATTTGGATTATTATTACCAGGATATTTTGGGCAATTATGTCTGAAAGTTCCGTGTGGACTGACTGCTGTTATTTCTTGTTTATCCATTCTTACCTGTTTACCTGTGTTCTATCTTCCATGTATTTATTTATTACGAAATGTTTTCCAGAGATATAACTTACGAGTCTGAGTCTTTCATTTACGTCTTACCTATCGTGGATTTTTTTTTTTTTTTTTTAATGAATTCTTGCGTTCCGTATATCAATCTCTAATCATGATAATTACCATTTTTGGTCTTCAGTTTCCTTCGAATGTCCCATCCCTCTCTAATTCTATCTCTATCTTCTAGGGAACGACAAGTTTCTTTATCTCTATCTACTACTACGTTTCCATCACTTTAGACCATCTGTAACGACGAAGGGAAGGGCAAGAAAAACACACGAAATATGCCGAATGCCTTTTCACTATTGCATATGCCCTGACGCAGCAATAGTGAAAAGGCCTTCGGCATATTCGTGTGTTTCTTGCCCTTCCCTTCGTCGTTCCTGTTGCAATCTGTTCAACATGAATTCCACACCATCTGTAACGCAATTTCTGGACTGGATCGCTCGCAACACAGTCATTCTTTCGAGTCCAATCACGCCCCACTATTTGCTCAGGTGTTCGCACATCTCCCCTCGACGTTTAGCGTAACAGGTGTCATTAATTGGTTGCGTAAAGCGTGACCAAAGCTCAGAGTGAGTCCCAGCTCCCCGGTCCAGGCAGCGTGACCTTAAACACGCGAAGAACAGTAATGCACCTTAGGCCCGGTGGAGGTCGACGTCTGCCGCCCTTCCTCCTCTCGGCGGTCCCTTAGGGCTGGCGTGAGGGCGTGAGGGCGTGAGGGCGTGAGGCGTAGCGGGGCCCTCGATGGGGGTCGTTTTACTTAGTCTGGTATTTGGCTTCTGCGCCTTCGTCTGCTTTTAAGCCTTATTCCTTGTTTCTTTCTCTCACTCCATCTTCCTCTGTTTCGTTTTTTTTCCATAGGTTGTCCTTCGTCTTCATCTTTCTCCGTTAATTTCTTTTAGGCATTCTTCCATCTCTCTATCTATCTCCCCGGTCCGTTTTTTTCTCTTACATTTTTCTCTCTCTTCATCCTCCTCCGTCCGTTTCACCCCGAAATCTTCCTCTTCCTCTATCTTGGCACGCTCCACCCCTCCCTCCTCCCTCCTCCCTCCTTCCTCCTCCCTTCCTCCTCCTCTCCCCCTCCTCCCCCCATCCTCCCTCCTCCCTCCTCCCTCCTCCTCCTCCCTCCTCCTCCTCCCTCCTCCCTCCTCCCTCCTCCCTCCTCCTCCTCCCTCCTCCCTCCTCCCTCCTCCCTCCTCCCTCCTCCCTCCCCCCCTCCTCCTCCCCTCCTCCCCTCCACCACCATCCTCTTCGCGCTTCCACGTTCTTCCTCCTTCCACTTCTAGCCCTCTTTCTTCAGTCCCCACTCCACATTCCCATTTCTACTCTTCACTTCCCCCTCCACTTTCCTCTACTATACGTCTCCACCTCTCTCCACATCCCACCCCTCTACCCCCTCTCCCCCCCCCCCTTCTCCCAACCCCCTCCCTCCACTTCCAACACACCCCTCTTCCACCCTCCCATCTCCCTTCCCTCTCCCTTCCCCACCCTCCGTCTCCACCTCTCTCCACATCCCACCTCTCCACCCTCCTCTCCCTCCCCCCCATCCCTCCAACCCCTCCCTCACCTCCAACACACCCCCTCTTCCACCCTCCCATCTCCCCTTCCCTCCACCTTCTCTGCTACCCCCTCCACCCCACCCCCACCCCCTTCACGCTCCACCGCCCCGCCCGAAGCCTCCACACCGGTCCTGGGTGTCTTCGGGGCTTTCGTGGGCGTTCTCGGGGGCGGCGGCGGCGGGCGGCGGGGGGGCGGGGGTCTCCTTCTCCTTCAGGATACTCTCGTGTGTTGACGATCGGTGTGGCTTGCCCAATATGCCTAATGGTTAGGTATAGGTGTATGTATACATATTTATCTGCGTGTATATGGATGTATATATGTGTGTGTGTGTGTGTGTGCGTGCGTGTATATCTATCTATCTATCTATCTATCTATGAACACGTCCCCCCTCCCCGACGAGACCCAGTTGGTGGCGCCCAATCCAAGTTCCTCGCGACTTGACCTTCTCTCCAGCTCCTTCAGCCGAGGGCGCCCTCAGCATGTCTCGAACAGCCCGTGTAGCATGGCTTTAGAATTCGGTTTTTGTCGTATATAAACGACAGCAACAATAACAAAGGATGATGAAGATGAAGAAGAAGGAGAAATAACAAAAGATGAAGTAGAAGAAGGAGAAATAACAAAAAGATAATGAAGATAAAGAAGAAGTAAAAAAAAAATGATGATGAAAAAGATGAAGAAATAACAAAAAATATGATGAAGAAGAAGAATAACAAAAAGATAATTAAGAAGAAAAAGAAATAACAAAACACATGATGAAGATGAAGAAAGAAAATAACAAAAAGATGATGAAGAAGAAGAATAACAAAAAGATGATGACGAAGATGAAGAAGAGAATAACAAAAAAAATAAGTAGAGAAGAAGAAATACAAAAAGATGATGAAGATGAAGAAGAAATAACAAAAGATGATGAAGAAGAATAACAAAAAGATGATGAAGAAGAAGAAATAACAAAAAGATGATGAAGAAGAGGAAATAACAAAGAAATTTAAGAAGAAGAAATAACAAAAAGATAATGAAGATGAAGAAGAAATAACAAAAAGATAATGAAGATGAAGAAGAAATAA